TCCAAACAGAGGGAATGGCGTATGCAAATGTCCTCAGGTGAGGAAATGCCTGAAGCACATGAGAGATTCAGAAAGAAGGTCAGTGTGGTTGGAGCAGAGTTGGAGGAGATGGAGGGTGATGGGAAAAGATCAGACTAGATGCAGCTCAGATGAGGAAGAGCTTTTGTAAGTGCAATGGGGAGTTGTCACTGGATGAGTGACATGCTTTGGTTTACATGTTAAGATCCTCTAACAACTGTGCACGCAATGGATTGCAGTGGCACATTTAGTAAGGACACTCTTCTGTTATCCATGTCCGATGATGGTGGATTTGGACAAGGCTGACACAAAAGAAAGAAAAAGAGAGATTCTGGAAATGGGTCTGACAGAATTTGCTGCTGTGTTTAATGAGAGTAAACAAAAGGGCAGAATCCATTGTGACACCTAAGGTTTTAAAAGAGTACTAACTGCAAAAGAGTTCTTTTTCAAGTAGCACAGAAATCTGCCTCTTGCAGCTGCCATATATGAGCTATAATTCTGTCTTTGGGAACCTGTTAAAAAAAAAAAAAAAACAGCCCATTCTAACCTTCAAAAGTTTAAAAATAATTATTGTGTTCCTCCTCAGATTTCGTTTCTTTGTCTAAATATTTCAAATGTTTTCAAACACTAAAGTGAGGTGATTTTAGATCCCTTGACAACTGTGAGGGTTCACTTCTGAATGTGTTCGACTTTGGTTCTCTGTTTCTATGACCAGCATCCAACAATCACCAAAAAGCATACAGTCTAATCATCATTAAGCAGAATCTGCTTTTCACCTTCATCCTAGGTAACAACTTTCTATTAATTTCTTTTAACTTTATAGTTGCCCGTCAAAATCTAATATGGGAGACAAGAACAGTGCCTGTGATGATGTAAGTTAGAATGAAATGAGACTGTATCAGGCTGTTCTTGTGTTGCTAAAAAGAAATACCTGGTGCTGGATAATTGATAAAGAGAAGAGTTTTAACTGGCTCATCATTCTGCGGGCCATACAGGCATGGCCTCTGCACCTGTCCGGCTTCTGGTGAGGCCTCAGGAAGCTTCCACTCTTGGTGGAAGGCACAGGGAGAGCAGACGGGGTCACGTGGCAATGGCAGGAGCAAGGAGTGGGGGCAAGTCCCAAACTTATGAACAACTAGATCTCACGGGAACTCACGAAGTAAGAACTCACTTATCACCAAGGGGATGGTGCTAAACCATTCATGAGAGATCTGCCCCCATGATCCAATCACCTCCCACCAGACCCCACCTCCAACATTGGAATCCCATTTCCACATGAGATTTGGAGGGGACAAACATCTAAACCATATCACAGACTCTAAGGAAGGCATACGTGGACCAATGGGGGAGAGTTCAGATTTGGATGTAGGAGCCAAGGATGGTTATGGAGGAATTTGAACAGAAAAAAAAGTTGAGTAATGGGAAAGATGCTGAGGAGTGGCAGTGGTGGGAACTGGAGAAAGCTAGTGTGAGCCATGTGGGGGCATCCTAGATGTAACAGTGAGGAATCTAGCCTTAGAGTGTTAGGTAAAGGGATGTTGCTGAAGGTTGGGGACATAGTGTTGATTTTTTAAACCAAAAGAAATAATTTCACTTCAGAAAGACTACTCTGGTATCAGGCTTATTTAAATAAGGGAAGACAGAAGGAGATAATATTAATTTCTTGCAGTGGTCCAAGAAGAAAGTAATGAAGGGTTAATGAGGCCACAATGGGGGGAAGGGGAGGGGAGAAACGAATGCAGAGGGAGACTGGGGATAGAATTTCCAGAGCTTTAACTGTTCAGATGGAAGGGACCAACAAGGAAAATGAAGAAGGCATGCCTTCTCACCAAGAGAAAACTGAGATTGACACAGAAACCTCACTCTTCACGTATCTGGATTATACACTTCCATATAATTATTTTTAGACTTATCACACATATCTTTATAGCATGCAAAAAGAAACTAAAATTTCCTCTTAAATTATAATGTTTTGGCCACTATGGAAATGGTAGGAAATGAAATCTTATTACTTAGAAATAAAAGATGTATTTAGACTAATATAGTTTCAGTAACTATATTAAGCCCCCAAATCTGCAATTCTATGCATGAACTGATTGGATTACACAATGCGTATCACTGAAGTCAGAATTCAGAAAGCAGTCACAATATGGAATTTCACTTGTGGCTCCAAGTTTTTCTCTCAATGTATACATATGATCAACAACATGCCCGCTATGCCCTGTGTAGGGCCAACTGGCATTTCCCCGCCTTGTGTTTGCTAAATTTGAGGAGTGGAGGAGGAGGAACAAGAGGAGTGAGGAGAGAGAAAGGAGGAAAAAGGGGAGAGACTGCCTTAATATGTGAAATACAGAAAAATACTTAGCAGCTAAGACAGTGTATTCCTATGTAAAAATTAACACCATCATGTTTCTTTGCTTTTCCTTTGGATTTTATCTTTAAATGGTTAATGTGTTTCCTAACTGATTTGACCCAAATAAAAATACATTTACTGCTGTTTCATTATAACTTGAAAGTAATATCAGAAATTACATAAAAGTGTCAAGAAGAAACCAGATCCACACATCGTCCATCCACCACTCAGAGATAATCAATGTTAAAATTTCATTTATCTCTCTGAACACTTTCCTCTGTGTATCCTTTTAAAATAAAAATTAGGTTCTCTTTCTTTATTTCTCCTTCTTTACTTTTATGTGTCCTTCTTTATTCTTGATACGATACAATTGTGATCTCTTCCTCTTCTTGTACCTCTTCATTTCCCCTCCCACACCATTCAGTTCTAAAATCTTTAGAAGGAGCGCAGCACAGTAAGTGTCTGTGCTGGGTAAGATGTGCAAAGGAGCCATGGCGCTCCAGAATGTGGAGGCCCAAAAGGGAGTGGAAGGTCTATGCAGCAGGACTGCCTGCAGAGAATCAGTACTCAAGTGGGGTGAGGAGGGTGTCCATGCGAGGAGCAGCCTGGTTACAGGCAAGGAGTGTATCCATGCAAAGGAGTGGCCCAGGATAGAGAGGTAGAGGCCAAGCCAGGTGAAGAAGATCCCCTGCAGAGCAGCAGCCTGACCTAGCACCAGCCCAAGGGAGGTGCTATGTTTTGATTGTGTCCCTCGAAGTTCGTGTGTTAGAAACTTAATCCTCAATACAACAGAGGTGAGAGGTGGGACTTTTAAGAGGGCAGAGTCCTTGTGAATGAATTGATGCTGTTATGAGTGGGTTAATTATCCCAGGGGTGGGTTTCTAATAAAAATGTGAGTTTAACCCCTCTCCTTTTACTCTCTCTCTTTTCCTCTCTTGCTTTCCACCTTCTGCCTTCCCCATGGGACGATGCAGCAAGAAGGCCCTCACCAGATGCAAGCCTCTCCATTCTGGACTTCCCAGCCTCCAGAACTGTAAGAAACAAATCTCTATTCTTGATAAATTGCTCAGTCTCAAGCACTGTTATAGCAGCACAAAACACAGTAAGCACAAAACAGACTAAGACCGGAGATGAGGACGACGTCCCTCCGTAGGAGGGTAGCAGAGGCCAAACCGCAAAAGGACAGCATACTTGTGGGGTGTGGCCCACCAAGGGGCATCCCAGCTCATGTGGGCTCTGAGGTGAGGAGGGTATGTGCAAAGAATGGTTCCAGGTGTGGAAACATTAAAGTTATTAGTTTATTTGAGGAGAACTGGCATCTTTATCCATGGAATTTTCCAATCAAGAAATTATTTGTTTCTCTATTTATTAAAATCTTTTATATCCTTTAATATAGTAAAATTTTATTCTCTCATATTAAGTTTACTCTTAGATGTTTAATGTTTTTGTTGCTATTGATAATGATGTCCTTTTCACATTATGTTCTCTTTTGTGGAATACAGGAAGTCTATTAAGTATAATACTCATTTATAATTAATTACCTAAGTCAACTATTATTAGTCTATTAGTTCTACTAATTTTCAATTGATCCTCTTGGGTTATAACTGCCTTTCAATGTATTGAAATTAAAATTGGGGCTGTCACTAAATTTTGTTAATATAAAAGAACCTAGGTCAAACTGCAAACAGAAAGAAATGAATAAAAACATTTTAAATGGTCATTCATCAGTTAAGTCATTTATTCATTTCTCACATATTTGTTGAGGTATGCTATAACCCTGGCCAAATTACATAACCTATAAAACTCTCTGTTTTCTTAACTATAAAATGTAAATAATTAACCTATCTAAGGACTAAATGCTAAATGAGATAATGCATATAAATTGCTGGCATTGCACATGGTAAGTACTCAGTAAATGTTAACAGTGATGATGACTGGTAAAGAAATATGCTATAAACTGTCGTTCCCAATGCCTGCAGAGCCACCATTAGTTGAGAGGATGATCAAGCTCTTCCTTTTTTTGTTCAGTACAGCCAAGTGTACATTTCTTCTCCTTTCCCCTCCACCATTGGGGGAATGACCCTAATTAACTTATTAACTTTCTCTCTCTCTCTCTTTCTCTCTCTCTCTCTCTCTCTGCTTACCTCCCTTTAGCTGTAATTCCCTTGCCTTCAATTTCATTTGTAATTTCTGAAGCCTTCTATATATAATAGGCCCCCAATAAATACTGATGGACTTCAAACAAAATTGGAAAACTACAAGACCCTCAAAAAGTTCTACGTCATATGAAGGTATTAATAAGTCAGGTCACTTAATAGACAAGACAATTCCATAATGAAATCTGAGGTAACAATTAACTAAAATTCTGTAAAATCTGACTGAGCCATATTAAGGTTCCATATGCAATAATATTAAATTTAAGATTTTTAATATAATGATTATGTCCTCCTCCCAAAAAGTATATGCAACATTCGGAATCATTTGCTGATGGCTGCTCTTCAATTTCACAGAAAACATACCTGTTTTCATATTAAGTTGTAAATTGGGAAGCTACTTGTGGTGCCCATTAGCCAAAAACCTAATTTCTTCCAGAAATGTAAAAATAAGCAAAACTCAAACCATGACTTACCCACTTCAGCCAAAGTTCTGATACAGGATTCCACCGAGGCTTTCTGTGACGGGTTTGGCCAGGTGCAATTGTAAATTCTGAAGGCAGATTGCAGTAGCTGAATAAAAACTGGCTGATGTGTCTAAAACCAGAAAGAAGGTAGGCAAAAAGAGATGCTAAACTATTAACAGCCCTGATGTAGCATCTATGCATTATCAGCAAGGTTCACGAAAATAACCTAAAATACAATCTTTCAAGTTTCAGTGCTAGCTAATAAATATCTCATTTGTCAAACATTCATTAGGTACTCTCTTCATGAGAGGCAACATGCTACACACTATAGAAAATGGGTTATTTTCATTTTAATTATATTCTAAACCAGAAAAATATGCCATTTCCTGAAGCCAATGACATGAATATTTTTTATAATCCATGGTTTATTCCCATGTGCAAATAAGCAGGTGTTTCTGGGTTGGTTGGTTTGTTTTGGTTTCATATGATGGGCAAGTAGAGGAGACAACCATTTTGAACTACAGAAACAATTTCCTGTGGTTCTATCTAATGGTTTAAAATTTTTCCCTAAAGAAAGTATAATTGAAATGATATTTTAGAAGAGTAATACACAATCACTGTAGAATATCTGTGGACCACAGAAATGTAAATCATCAAGAATCCTACAACACAGAGATACAGTATCAATATTTAAAGACATTTACTACCTGAGTTTTTTGATGCATGTATGTTTATATATTCTTTACACAAACAAATTTGGATGATACTATAATGGAATTCAGTGGCCTAATATTACTTCATGTTTATTTTCTTGGTCATCAATTTTTCCTTTAAAATATGATTTTTAATTGCTATATAATAGACCATCCTACAGATACATCATAATTTATTTAGCTTTTCCTCCTTTTAAGGATGTTTAATTGATTAAATTTTTAGTATTATAAATACTCAGATTAAAAGTTTTATTATATAAACCTTTGTTAATTCTATTTGGATAAGTATAACTTCAGGGGCAAAATGTCTATCATTTAAAGAATTAACTGTGCAGTTATTTCAACACTTGGCAAACAATCAACATACAGATACGAAAGCTCTTAGTCTGCTTAGAGAAAGAGGAAAAATAATTCAATTTAAAGATGAGGTCTCTTTATTTAAAATAAAGTTTGGTAAACTCAGAAAGAGGCATAATAGTAAATAATATAAGAGAAGAACAAACATTTCAAGTGTAGGAAATAACTTTCTGAGCAGAAAAAATTTCCCCTACTCAAATAAGAGAAACTCTTTGCAACAGAATGCTTTGCAATTGTTTGACTTACCTGGAGGCTGGTACTATTGTCTGAAAAGGGGGAATTAAAGAAGCCGCTCACAATATTCATTATTGACTCAGTAACACACTTTTCCAAAAAGATGTCTGCATGTTTCCTGTCTGTAGTTGTGTTGCAAACCTGGAGAGAAAAACAAAACAACTCAGTATGTTTTATCATATTTTTAAACTACAACTCAGTATTGGAACCACCTAAAAATTGTCCTGAAATAGTTGTCAATAACATTTCTTCTGTTTTTTAAAGTTGCTTAGAAGAGAAGCATTTCAGCCTGAAATCATGCAAACTGTATCATTCTTCAGTAGCTTCTCCATCAAGTTAGCCTGTCATTTCAGCCTTGAAACCAAAATTCTTTCACAGACCCCCAGCCTCTTCTTCCTAATTTGCTTCTCCCTTCTCTGGTACACCAACCTTTCCCTCAGCCTCCAAGTTTGGCTTTGCTGGAGAACACTTTTCCACTCAATGTAAGGTGACCAAAGATGAAACAGTCATTCTAAGTATAAGAAAGGTGATTAATGGCAGTTAGTAATTCCAGACATTTTCACTCCTAACCCTCACTCAAATTGGAGGACACAAACACAGAACGCATCTGGACAGGAAAACAGATAGGTAGAAGATAAATCAAAATCCTCCCAATAATTTCGACGTTTTTATCCATGGATTATCTGAGAAGCATGGAAGTATAGGTTTGCATGCATTCTTCTCAGAGTGGACTCAGCCAAAGAGACAATGCTGAAGCTGGAGAAAGACCAGAAAAGAGCAGCCCTGGTTCCTGCTCTGATCTTTACATCTGATGAAATGAGGCAGTAATTGGTCATTTTGCATTTCGCTGTAAATTTCAACATCAGCATGATCAAATTGCAAAAGCTAAGATACCTAATTAAAAACACACGAAAAAAAGTTGGCTGGTGAAAAGACAGAAAAACATAGAGATAAAAAGAAAAAGAAGTGGGAGTGGTGGACAGAGAATGTGAGAAAAGACTGAAAAACTGCAGCAGAGAAAGTTTAAATTTTCACAAAATTGTGGTGGGTAATATGGGGGCCAGATGTTCCAGACGTTCTTAGACCATCCAAATTTTTATGTAATTTTTAAAAATTTTCAATAAGTTGCTTAACCAAAAGAGTAAGTCAATGTCACTTAATCTGATATTGTTTAAAAAGCTTTCACACAAATTCATAAAAGAGAAAATTTCTCTTCTCAAACCATGTGTCCCGGGGCTTTTGTTCTGGGATCTGGGAACACTAATGCCAGCATTTGCCAAATGGAGGTGGGAGAAAGAGAACATTTTGCGTCGAAGTCACTTCCCATCTGAGCAGTTCGCTTTTTCCTCATCTATTAATTGACCCCTACCTGACTTTGTTTTTAAAGATTTTTAGTGTATCTAATTTCATAGGGTAATTGCAGGCACAGTGCAATTAACGGAAATAAATTACATCGAATTATGTAATCTTCTAGTTATTGCTCCAGCATATAACTTAGTGCCTGGCACACACAAGATGTTCAACAAACGTTTGTGAAATGAATGAATAATTTAGTAAATTTTTAAATGAAAGAGGGATAAAGGACTCTTATTTTGTTTTAGGTTAACTTTAGGTTGGGCTATATTCCTGGAGCATCTAACCTAGGATTAAAATTTAATTTAATTTACATGGTCCCAGATCTAATATAAAATTGATCTTCCTATGATGGATAAGAATTAGGATTTACTTCTTTTAGCATCTTCCTAACACTTGCTTTACAGTGAAACCTTCTGACACATAGGTTAAAAATATAATAAAGTTGAAGACGTAGCAGACCAATTCCATCACAACCAAAACAAAAGACCTCCCTCATTCAGCGACATTTCAAGGAATTATGTGGGGCTCTCCAGAGTCATTAGAGTATACCACACTGCATTTTCTGCAACTGGACACTTGCCAAAAAACCACCCAGAAATTTGCTTTTTAGTCAGTGGATTAATAAAAATAATCTATTTCTGGATCAAGACTTTCTTCAAAATCCTGGGTTACGAAAAGTCTGTGTTTTACAAAGTTACGTGGAATCTATTACTCACTTCATTTAAACAAGAAATTCAAATAATTTTTCAAGATGTTTTTTCTGTTCCCTATGAATGATAACATTTCACCTTGCATCTTATAATATCATGGATAGCCAAGAAATGTAGGAAGCACTTATGAAAATCTTTAAAAATTTTTCAGGAAAAAGAACCTCATACATATGAACATCTCTTTATTTTCTTTTATTTTTATTTATTTTCTCTTTACAATAAAGATTGGACATGGCTCAAATAAAATTACATCATATCAAATTATATTTTTATGTGTAATACATACAGTTTAAAAGTTTTAATCCATTTGCACATATTATTCACATAACATTCTTTCCTATAAAATGCTTTCATGTACTGCCATTATTTAAATACTTATTTTAAAAGGCTATATTTATTCCATCATTCTAATGCACCATCATGCTTTAATCCATTTTTGGAATGAGTTGAGGTACACATTAGCAATATTACAAATCATTTTCTTATCTTCTTAGTTATTTCCTTCTTGTTCATCTTTTATGATGTATTTTTTTTTTGGCTATTATAAAGAATTGTGCAAAATTACTGTATTTACTTTCAGATTTTTTTGGCATATTTCAGCAAAAGAGGAGTCAACAGATGAGGGTATGTAGACAGTTTTATACTGCTGGGCTGATCCTCTAAAATAATAAATTTACAATACTGTCAGCAAACTATCCACAGATACACAGGATGTTCCCTTATTACCACCAAATAGCTTTTGCTTTGGGGCTCTGGTTGTATTCATCTAATATGAGGTTCTTGCAGGAGATTATAAAGTGGAAGAGAAAGAAGTCAGGCACCTACTCTACCTCTGCCTCCATCCCCATCTCCCTCTCCTTGTAGGGGCTTCTGTGTTCTGGATACAGCTGCTACTGAAGCCCTTCCTCCACATCTCCAAGCTGTCCCCAGGATCTAGTAATAGTGCCTGCTCCACGTACCTTCAGGGTCTAGAGGTGGTGAAATCCCTCAGTACTCTCCTATCCCTTCTTGTTAAATCTGCCTTTGTTTCTTGAATTGTGCCATGTGTTTCCTACTATAACTGACTGCTACACCAGTAAATTATAATTGTTTTTATCAATTTAATTATACCTAAAAGTTATTTTTTATTTCCCTCGCTGTTAACAAGGTTGGCCACTTTTCATGGAATCATTTCATTTCTATCTTCTGTCATACAAACAATTCAAGCCCTGTAAACCATTTTCCAAAAACCTAATGACTGTACATTTAGTATGAGTAACATATTTTTATGAGCTCTTTTCAGTTGTCATTTCATATGTAATTTTTCATTCCATTTAGAATATTTCATTATATTTCATTGTGTAAACTACTTTTCAACATCCAGGCACTGTTATTTATTTTGTTCATTACTATTTATTAATATTTAATATAAACAAGAAAAAACTCCCTCTTAAAAAGAAAAGAATAGTCTATACATTTTTATTCTAGTTTTTAACTCTTTAAAATATCTGCAATTTGCTGCTGTAGGTGACCTAATTTATGAATTCTGATTATTTTTTCTCCATATGGATATTCAATTGTCCTCAAAACATTTATTAAATATTAATTCCTGCTGCATTCCTAGGTTACTTGAGGTTTGTCTTATAGTGTGTCACTACTGACTACCTAAATCTCTCCCCAAATCTCTAATATACTCCATGGATTTTTAAAAACTATTTTAACCTAACTCCACAGAATGAAATGACTCCCAATCTGTAATATGTTTCACAACCTGAAACAACCAAGTCGACCATCATTGTCTTTTCCAAGGAAAAAAAAATCCATATTTTTGATTTGTCTTCTTCTACTTCCAGATGAATTTTACTATATGTCTGTCAGATTTAATGGCCTATCACATAAGGACACAAATTATTAAATTGAAGCTACATATTGGACTAGAAGTTAGAACAATGAATCAAACAAAACAATACCCCTACTCTATTAGAACCTCTTTCCCAATCAAGAGAGATACACAATAGACAAAGTAATAAATACATAACATGCTAAGTGGTAAAAATAAAGAAAATAACAGACTAGAGAAAAATAAAGCAGGGCAAGTGGTACAGGGAATGCAGTAGGCAGGGTGGGGATGGTCAAGGATTCCTGTTTATTTAAACAGCTTGGGTGGTATCCCTATATAAGGCAACATTTCACAAAGAACTGTATATGTGCTGCCGAAGCGAGCACGTTTCACAAAGAACTGAAGTTGGAAGCAGCCATCAACATTTCTGTGGGAAGAGCAAGTAAAAAGTTGTCTCTGCCATTAGGATATATGCTCCTGGACACCAGGAACAAGCCTGTCTTGCTCACCACTGCACATGCAGCACTTCAGCACATAACAGATATTCTAAAATTACTTGTTGAACAAGCAGATATTAAGTGAAATTCTAGACACAATTGTGTCTGAACTTCTCCCCTTGCATATATGATGTCCTTCCTCTCTTCTGCTCTAAAAGTGACTGCTACCCTTCCAAGGATGGTTGTCTATGGTAAATAAGTTACCATATGTTAAGCAGCACTGTCCTACAGAACTTCCTATAATGATGGAATCGTCTATATCTGTGATGTCCAATATGGTAGCCAGTAGACACAGGTGCATACTGAACATTTGAAATGTGGCTAGTGCAACTGAGGAACTGAATTTCTACATTTTATTTATCTGAATTAAAATTTACATTTAAATAGCCACAGTTGGCAAGCGGCTACCTCACAGGGCAGGGCAGCTCTAGAGCCAGTCGCATACTTTTGATCATAAGGAATACAACTCCTAAGATCACTTTAGTATTTTACATAGACAGTAAAAGTGTTCCTCTAAATATCTGAGGGGATATCTCATATTTATTTTAATTTGCATTCCGTTACTTGTGAGGCCAAAACTTTTCCAAGCATTTGCCTTCTATATCTCCTTTTTATGTGAATCATCAGCTCATACACTCAATTGGCTTTCTTAGAATTCTAAATTCTTTTTTTTAAACAGACAACATTTTCGTAATAGCAATACATATTAATTGTAGGAACTCTAAAAATACAGAAAATATAAAATGGAAAAATAAAAAT